AGAGCAGCCCTGAGGAAAAGGACTTGGGAGGGCTGGTGGATGAGAAGCTCAACATGAGCTGGCAATGTGCACTGGCAGCCCAGAAAGCCAACCATATCCTGGGCTGTATCAAAAGGAGCGTGGCCAGCAGGTCAAGGGAGGTGATTCTGCCCCTCTACTCAGCTCTCGTGAGACCCCACCTGGAATACTGCGTTCAGCTCTGGAGTCCCCAACACAAGAAGGACATGGAGCTACTGGAACGAGTCCAGAGGAGGGCCACGAAGATGATTCGAAGGCTGAAGCACCTTTGATATGAAGACAGGCTGAGAGAGTTGGGGCTGTTCAGCCTGGAGAAGAGAAGGCTCTGGGGTGATCTTATAGCAGCTTTCCAGTACCTAAAGGGGGCCTACAGGAAAGCTGGAGAGGGACTTTTTACAAGCGTGTGTAGTGATAGGACAAGGGGCAATGGATTTAAACTGAAAGAGGGGAGATTTTGATTAGATCTAGGGAAGAAAGTTTTTACATTGAGGGTGGTGAGGTACTGGAACAGGTTGCCCAGAGAAGTTGTAGATGCCCCATCCCTGGAGGTGTTCAAGGCCAGGTTGGATGAGGCTTTGGGCAACCTGGTGTAGCGGAGAATTTCCCTGCCCATTGCAGGGGAGTTGGAACTAGATGATCTTTGAGGTCCCTTCCAACCCTAACCATTCTATGATTCTATGTTTCTATGATTCTATGATTATTAACCTCAGAAATGACAGAAACAGGTAGCAGCTGTCTAGGCTAAGAAGTTAATGAAAACTGGAACTGTACCGAGTCATTGACACAAACACAACTAAGGGATAAAGGAGGTAAACCCACAAGTGGAGAGGCAACCTGGGACCCTCCAGTGCCCAGTGAATTTTTTATAAAGAGGGGACAATGAAAAGAAAGGAATACTGAACTGGAGGTGGTAACGTGTGAGAGGAATGATTTCATGGGAGCTGGGTCATTATCCCCCATGCTGGCAACACCTCAAGGACTTTGGGTGTGCTGGACTGGAACAACTAGGCATTTTGTCATTAAGTATAGGCTAGAATTGCTTTTATATTTATTTTACTTGCAGCTAATTGCGTTCAAAACTTTGTCTGACCTTGATGTATGTTTTCTTTTTAAGCTTGCTGGGGGATGTTCTGAGGAGGGAGTCATATAAGAATGGAAAATGGTAAACATTCAGGAGAGTTACAGTAATTGTGTCTTTGCCATTTTCATCTCTCCACGCGAAGCAGAGCGTGTTCTAGTGGTATGAAATTCAGAGAAGCTTTGTAAGGGCAAAGTGTCTCTGCTGAATATGCTAGACATCCCTTGCAGCATCAAGACTTGCTTATTTGAAGTCACTGCGAGTTCTCTGTGGTGA